CAGCTATACACATAAATATATCCCCATATCTCCTCCCTCTTACATCTCCCTCCCATCCTCACTATCTCACCCCTCTGGGTGGTCACAAATCATGGAGTTGATCTCCCTGTGCTATGCGGCTGCTTCCCGCTAGCTATCTATTTTACATTTGGTAGTGTATATAAGACGTCGCATTTTTATTTAATTTTTACTTTATATGATACTTATTTTTTATTTCATTTATTTTAACTCTTATTCTTGGCATTTGGAGTTCTTTTGTTTTTTTTTACCTTGACACTAACAATTTAAAAAAAATTATATTACTTTGTACCAGTATATAATTTACAATGCTCACATTGTCTCTTTATACATTTATAATACTCATATTTTAATGTCAAAAAGCAAATGTAGAGGGGATCTAGAGGGGTGAAATGTTATTAAGTTGGACGATGACCGATATAATCAGCCACAGGAAAGGACACAGGTGAAGAGCAGAGTGAAGCCTTACAGAGCATGGAGCAAGAGCTAGGGTCCTATTTGTCCGTGTCTGAGAACAGTACTAGAATTCCACACCCATTTATGAAAAATATTCTTAGCAAACCAAAAGAAATGTCCTTAACATGATAAAGTGTGTCTACCAAAAATTGAATAGCGAACAGCATACTGAATGGTAAAATATTGAAAGCTTCTTCTCCCTGATATTAAGAAGGAGGTAAGGATATTTTCTATCACCTTTTCTGGTCAACACTGTATGATGGATTTTCAAGTGCGAGGCCCATTCAATTCCCTTTTCCTCATTCTTTTCCAGTTTCTCTTCTGTTTATTCTGAAGCTCCTAAAGGGAAATATTGTCTGTCTCAGCGTTCCATAAAAGCTTTCAATTGAAAAAAGACTTTCTCAACACAAAACACAAAATTTTTCAAAACTACTGCTCTAACTGCCATTATTATAATGCATGCGTTTTCCACTGGGACTAATTTCTCCAGTTGTTTTTATTTCTTTTGCCTGAATCCTCTCCTCTTATTCTATATCCCTGTTAAGTTTTAGTAATCAGATGCTCCATCAATGCCCCAAGTAATTACATAAACCAACACAATTCAAAAACTATATATTTTGAAATTTCCTTGAAAATAATAATATTGTCTTAATATTATATGTAGTCCATCCACTGCAGGTTCCATCTCTCTTTGTCTTGGCTTTAATAAAGCTGAAGAATATATAAATGATAAGTGAAATGTCTTCATTCCCTGCATTCTCCAGTTATCTGCTGCTGCATAACAAATTACCCAAAAATGTAGTGGCTGAAAACAACAAACACTTACTAGCTCACTGTTTCTGTGGGTTAGGAATTCAGAAGCAGCTTAGCTGGGTGGTTCTCATGAGACTGCAGTCTGGGTGTTGGCCTGGGCTGCAGTCACTGAAGGACTTGACTAAACCTAAAGGGTCTGCTTAGAGGATCACTCACGTGGCTGTTGGCTGGAGGCCTCAGTTCCTTGAGGGTCTTTTCAACACAGGGCAGTTGGTTTCCCCAAAGCCACTGATGCAAGAAAGAGAGCAAAACTGGAAAGCCAGAGAAAACCACAGAGCCCCTTATGACCTAGTCTTAGAAGTGACATGACATCATTGCTGCTGTTCCCTTTCGGTCACACAGCCCAACCCTGGTATGATTTAGAAGGAAACTACACAAAAGTCTGAATACAAGGTTGCCTACAGCACCTGACAAAGGGAATTCCCTTCATATTTCGTCTTAAATGTTCATTTTGTCTTGGAAACAGTCAAAACTAAAACAGATGAACCCCAAAAGTTCGTTACAATTTATATCATAGTCAGTGAGAAATTTTCATAAATTTTTAACAGTGATTTCCCAGTTAGTAAAATAGGACAATATTACATTTAAATGTGTATCTAAGTGTATCTAGCCAATTTTTTAAATCCTTTTTTTAACATGGAAGGATTTGATATCAGATTCCAAGTAATTTATTTTTACTTTGACATTAAAAGAGAAATAGATGAAAGTTTTATATTCTTTCAGAGTAAGTAAAATCTGTAGTAGATGGTATGCAAAATGTTGTCACTTTGCAATCCGAGTGAAACAAACAAAACTCCAGACTTATTTTGAGTGAGTTAACTCAACCTAAGCCTATAGCCCAGCTACTGACTTGGGCATAATTAAGTGCTAATCACATGGGTGTGCTATTTTATGAGGCAGTAAACCAGTTCCTGAGTGGATAAACAAGGAGGTTGAAAGCCAAGGAGCTTAACCTATCAAGGAACTGTAATTTTCTTGTAGAAAAAGAGCAGACCTACCTGTTTTTGCTATTAGAATAACAGTGAGAATTCCCCAGAAGTGAAAGAATGGGTCATTTTCAAAATTGGCTAAGGAGAGGGGACATTGCTGAACGTAGAAAAGTGTTTCATGTGCCCACAGTCTCTAGTTTGAGTACCTTCTGTAGAATTCAACAATAAATATATTTGTCTACTTGCCAAATATTTGCTACCTGTAAATCTTTTTTTTTAGCATCTTTATTGGAGTATAATTGCTTTACAATGGTGTGTTAGTTTGTGCTATATAGCAAATTGAATCAGCTATACATATACATATATCCCCATATCCCCTCCCTCTTGTGTCTCCCTCCCACCCTCCCCATCCCACCCCTCTAGGTGGACATAAATCACCAAGCTGATCTCCTGTGCTATGTGGCTGCTTCCCACTAGCTATCTATTTAACATTTGGTAGTGTATATATGTCCATGCCACTCTCTTACTTTATCCCAGCTTACCCTTCCCCCTCCCCACGTCCTCAAGTCCGTTCTGTACGTCTGCGTCTTTATTCCTGTCCTGCCCCTAGGTTCTTCAGAACGATTTTTTTTTTTTTTTTTAGATTCCATATATATGTGTTAGCATACGGTATTTGTTTTTCTCTTTCTGACTTACTTCACCCTGTATGACAGACTCTAGGTCCATACACCTCACTACAAATAACTCAATTTCATTTCATTTTATGGCTGAGTATTATTCCATTGTATATCTGTGCCACATCTTCTTTATCCATTCATCTGTCAGTGGACACTTAGGTTGCTTCCATGTCCTGCCTATTGCAAATAGAGCTTCAATGAACATTGTGGTACAGGACTCTTTCTGAATTAGGTTTTCTCAGGATATATGCCCAGTAGTGGGATTGCAGGGTCGTATGATAGTTCTATTTTTAGCTTTTTAAGGAACCTCCATAGTCCATTTTAAAGCAATTATACTCCAATAAAGATGTTAAAAATAAATAAATAGATAAATAAATAAAAATGGGGCAGGCAGTGGGGATACCCTGACCTCAAAGTGTTCTTATCTATAAAGGAGATAAAGGCAAGTGCTATGAGAATACAGACCCCAAATCTAATTTGTCACAGGTAGTCACATATGATCGCTGCATAGAAATGGGAGATAGTGGTTGAGGAGAGAGCACAGCATGCAAAGGTCTAGAGATGACATTGAGCAAGCCATGGCAAAGGATGGCAACACTGAATGAGGATGGAATATTGATGGTGAGATGGGGAGTCATAAGGGCTAACAGAAAATTAATATAAAGGGTTTAGCGTGGTGTCCAGCCTATTATAAACAATTGGTAAATGATAGTTGCTGTCACTAATTTTAATATTGTTATTACAATATTTAACATTAAAACTACACTTGGAATTCCACATTCCCAGTGGAACTTGGCTCTGATTTCCAGAGTGTCTCTTTTTTTTTTTTTTTTTTTTTTACTATATCAGTGATTCACCAGAGATGTTTCTCCAGTGACAGAAGTCTATTGCTTGCCTGCTGTTCGCCAGGCCCTGTTCTGTTCGAAGCACTGGGAATTCAGCAAAGGAAAAAGCAGAGCCTACATTATAATGAAGAGAAATTGATTTTTTTAATGGAGAAATAGATAAATGAATGAAATTTCAGTCAGAAAAGTGCCACGGAGAGAATATAAGTAGAGGGATGAGGAGAATAGGGTATGACAAAGTGAGAGGGCACTGTGCGAGGGCACTGTGCGGAGACCATCGTTCTCCAGCTAAAGGAAATCAGAAAAAGGACTGTCTGGGAAGGTGGCGTATGAACTGAGACCTGAAGGACGACATGAAGTCAGCCAGACAGAAACCTAGAAGAAGAGCAGAGTTTCAGGCAGAGGCCCTGGTTGGGATCTAGCCAGACTTGAGAAAAGAAGACCTGACCTGAAAGGGAGGGGGAGATTGAAGGGAATTAGGAGTCAGAGAGATAGAGTATAGAGTTTAGAGGATATGAAGGGATAAGTGGTAAGGTGATTGGGTTTTAGTTTGTGTATATTGGAGAGCTTTAACCAGAGGCATACTGTGATCTGATTTATACTTTAAAATAAAGTCTTTCAACTGTGACACTATCTGCATTTGGGGCTAGATAGATAATTCTTTGTTGTGGAGCGGCGTTGGCATGTGGAATTATAGGATCTTTACAGCATCCCTGGTCTCTACCCACTGGCTATCAATAGCAGCCCCTAAGTTGTGAAAATCAAAATTATCTCCAGAGATTGCTGAATGTCCCAAGACTGGTAAAATTTCTCCCAGTTGAGAACCACTGCCTTAACATTTTACTTTATGTGGTCTCCATGTGGAGAATTGGCTGGGGAAGTGGGGCTGAGGAAGGACAGAGGTGTATGCAGAGACTACCAGGACACCATTGCAGCCATCCAGGGAGAAAAAGGGGCATGATGGTGGATCAGTAGAGATTGTGAGAGGGGGTGGGATGCGGGGTATATATATATGTAAAAAATATATATAATATATATGTAAAAAATATAATATATATGTAAAATATATTATTTATATATATTATATATGTAAAAGATATATATTATTTATATAAATATATTATGTGTAGTATATATATATGTGTGTGTATATATATATATATATATTTTGTTTGTTTGTTTTTTTGCTGCACCGTGCAGCATGCAGAACTTCCCTGACCAGGGATCAAACCTGTGCCCCCTGCAGTGGAAGTGCAGAGTCTTAACCACTGGACCACTGGGGAAGTCCTGGGATATATTTTGGATATATTGTGGATAGTTAGAAAGTATTAGGAGGTCGAACCAACACAACTTGGGTGACAAGTCAGCCCTACATTTTGATTCATCCAAGAGAGACCCAGTTTGACCTATTTTCCTGGAGTAATTATTGATAGTTCCTCCTTTCAGTTCCAAAAGTGTCCTCATTCAGACAATAAATTACATGCTTATACTAGTAATAGTTGAGTGACAGGCCTGAGATGTCTACTCTAATTTCCATGTTACCTTGTCCATTTAAAGGCCTTTCATTTTCACAGTCTTTTCTCACCTGATGAAACAAAGAGAATGTAACAAATAAATATTTATATAGAGCAAGGAATAGAGTAATTCACAGGAGGCTAAAGGGGAATATTGTACACACTAATCTAGTCATTTTCAATGTGTTAAATATAGCTTTATAGTTTAAATTGCCATTCATTTCTGGGCTTTTTATAGATAGCATGAGGGTAAAAGAGAATGAGGTACATATAATAGCAATGTATGTATTTGTTCAATCCATTTAATGTATTGGAGAGGGGTTTTTTTGGTTCCACAAGTTATGTAAGATACACATAGAGTTAGAGATTTTAATAAAATGTGGATTTGTAAAACATCTTTTAAAAATCTTTCGATTAAAACCTGTGTAATCTTCTTAATCTTTCTGTCTGTGACTAATCAGTTGTTGGGGTCTCCATATGCTATTTTTAATCATGTCAGGGAGGTGTTAGTCCTTGTGTGCAATAAGAAGGACACCTTACCAGCAGTGCTTTTACAGTGATGCATTTGGGGGACCACAAAAGAAGAGAAGAGAAAGGAAAGTCAAGAGAAGGAAAATGAATGTCTAGGCACACATCCACCTCCATTGGGGGAAACAAATGAATGAACAAACAAGACAACACACACTCCCAAGGGATCGTGTGTAGGAAATATGTCATGTCCAGGACAGAATGTTCCTGCCACGTTCAGAAACACTTCTGTTGATTTTTCCCCCATTGTTGTGTGTTGAAGTATTTTATGTGAGGAAAGGTCCCTAATTTAATCTATACTTTTTTAGCCCTATGAATTTGCTACTATTGTTATCTTCATTTTTCAGACAAAGTACCTGAGATTCAAATTCTGAAGGAATTGGTGAAAAATAACATGACTCCTGAGAAAATGTCCATCCTGGCTCCTCTAGCTTCAAAGTCCTTCTTTCTTTCATTTACCTCCTTGCATTGTGATACTAGTGAGGCAAGGTCTGTTTTGTAGTTGGGAAACTGAAGTTCAGAGTAAATGAGATGATTTGCTTAAGGTCCCAAAGCAACTGGTGAAGCAAGGGCTTAATGGAAGTCATCTGATTCTTAGTCCGGTTTATACACAGTGTTTGGATGCTGAAAATGTTCAAATCCAATGAGTTACCCTAGCATTTTCAACAGACTAGCATAAATTTATCAATGATTCATTTTTCTCACATAGTCTCAGTAAATTAAGAAAAATATTTTTATACAAACCAAAAGAAGAGGAATCATTTCAATGCTGCAGCAGAAATACTGAAGGAGTGCTCATATGCAAATAGTGTATGTTCTATAGCTTGAAGCACAAGTCGAAGATTTATAGAAAACTTAGCTAACTGTATGATGATTAAACATACAAACTTTGGAGTCTGAGCAGCCAGAAGTGAAATGCTGGACTGCCTTTTAGAGCTAACTCTGTGGCTGTATCTCAGTTTGCTTATCTTCAAAATAATTATAAAATAATATTTATATCAAAGGATTATATTGAGGACTAAATAAAATTTTAGACAGTAAGTACTCAACAGATATTAGCCTATGTTATTTACTACGTGTTCCCACAAAAGGCTATTTGACTACCTGCTTTTTGGTGGCTTTTGATGACAAGAGGTGTTTTTTGGAGACATCTTGACAATGTATTCCCCGGATCTTCCCTTTTAGGTGTAAGGGAAACAATTACTATAGACCCTTTAGAAATAATTTATACACAAATCTTCCTTTCTCCCTTTAGAATCATACATATTTTGGGATCTCAGGGAAACTTAAAAAAATAATCTATTGTTATTCTTTTATTTACAAGTAGCCTATGAAGTTTAGAGTGTAAAGACTTGCCCGGAGTCACGTAGAGCGTGGCAGAGCTGGGACAAGAAACTGGCTCTTGCCCCCTTGTTCTATGTTCTCTCCCAACAATGCCGTATTATTCCTATATAATGGGTCCAGCTTATTTATTTCTCCAGTCTATTCATTGGGTTTCAACAAAATGCAATAGAGCAGAAACATCTCTTTTTATTGCTGTGGTAGATGGAGTTCAAAGGTAACTAAAATTTTAAAATTGTCAACTTTTTTGATTTTGGCTAGCCAGCCTTTCCCAGGTTGCCTTTAAATATGTCAGGAAGCGGGCTTC